TTTGTCCATACAAACAATTAAAATCATTAATTTTTAATATTCTTAAATTATTTATTGTCGAATTAAATTTGATATGATAAAAGTATTCAACTACAAAAGTAAATAATTTTACTTTATAATTTATTAATTTTTTAACTCTATTTCTGTGTGCTACTACCAGTCTATAATATGCCAAATTTTTTAGTAATATTTTGCTATATAAATCATAAATTTAAAAAAAAAATGATTTTTAGTTTCACCTGAAGTTAACGATGGAGTTTTACAATTATAATTATATTTTTGATAATATGCTCAATTGAGTAAATCTTTTTAACTACTTTGGTTTGATTGGTTCATTTAATTAAAGTAAATTATTAAAATTAATTAAGTTCTGAATATTTCAATTGCAGAATTTTTTTAAACACCAAAAGTTATTAGGATATGATTACTATTCTTTCTATTTCAGTTATCTATTACGATAAAAATGTAAAAAAATCGAATTTTTCTGACAAATGTACTGTAATTAGTAATTATAAAATTTCCAGATTGCATATTAATCTTAAAAATTTCATTTTTTTCAATTTAATAATGTCAATTTCAAACTTGCAAGTTGAACTATAAGTTATGGTAACAAATTCATTTTTTAGCTTCGATGCGAAGCTGAGAAGGTATTTTTCATTAAAACTTTCACTTTAAAAGACAATAAAAAATAGGTTCAAAATGATTACCTTTAACATATTAAAAATCAAAATCAGTATTAATTTAATACAATTTTTTTTGTTCTTAATTATTTTTTTTTATATGTAAATACTTATTTTTTAATAATAAGTAATAATATTAAAACTTAGAAGTAATAGAAAAAGTTTAATTGCACATTTGAAAACATCACGAAAAGTTTATTTAGAAAAGTATATTTTTTTTCTGATGAAAGTTCCTTTTGTTTAGTGTATTTATTCATAAGTAACAAAATTTTTTTATTAAAAAGTATTGCATAAATTCCTTTAAATTTGTATACGCATTAAAAGTATATGAATATACAACTCCTTTTTATTTTTATAATATCTCCGTAAAAATTACAATATTATATTATTGAATACCACTTTCATACTCAATTTAATTACTGTAATTATTATGTATTCATATATTATAGTTATAAATCGGGGTAAAATTAAGGGAATAAGTGTTATTGTTGTTTTTGAAATAATCTACCAATTTCATTTTTTTCTATTTAATAATATTTATTTCAAACTTGCAAGTTGAGTTAAAAGTTATGGTAATAAATTCATTTTTTTTTTATTAAAACTTTCACTTTAAAGAACAAAAAGAAGTAGGTTCAAAATGATTACTTTTAACATATTAAAAATCAATAATAATTTGAAAATAATTAATTATAAAAATTATATAATATATAATTAAAATAATTACTAATCTGGATATAATTAAGGAAATAGGAGTTGATGTTGGGTTGGGTTGGTTACATTTTTAACTTTATAATGCTATAACTCATTGAAAAGTGTACGAATCAACACAATTTTTTTATGAGAAATAATATTTTTTAATAATCCCTTTTTCATTCGACATACTTTATCTTAATCAGGGTATTAATAAGAAACTAGCAGATAATGTAGCTTTTGTAATTATCCACCAATTTCTTAGAATTAAACACTATCTACTGATTTGCATCGAAGCGTTTCTTATGATAGTGATTTTAATCACTGTCAGATTAAATCTATACTGGACCCAACTATGCAACATCCCCACTATGCCGCGACCCCACTGTGCTGGGTTTTTTGTGTTTGAGACTACTATTTCTCAGCATTAACTGGGGGTGTTGTTTTTTTAAGATAATAACGTAGATCATAATTTGCATTTGCTTAAAGACTTTTCTCTCAATAATTGCATGTTTTTTCCTAGTTTATTGTAAATGACAGGAATCTCCAAAACTTATTATTAAGTCAGTAAATTTTAACATTTATTTAATTTAAAAACTTTTTGAAAAATAGATGAATCAAAACAATTTTTTTTTAATATATATTAAAATTAAACATTATCTACAGATTAACATTGAAGTGTTTTTTGTGATAATGATTTTAATCACTGTGAGATTAAATCTATATTTGTCCCAACTATGCCGCGTCACCACTGTGTCGGCATTTAATTTCACAAATCAATTATTTTGAGTACTTAACACGTTGCACGGTAATGTCAGCAATATCATTGTCTATTTGTATTTAGTTACTTTTTATAATTTTAAAGTCCATTAATAATAATTATAGTATATTTCAATATATTATAAAAAACATGGCTTTTATAATAAATTAATGTATTATTTTCTTTAGAAAATCACTATTTATGTATTGAAAAAATTATTAATAAGTCGGTAAATTTTAACATTTATTTAACTTAAAAATGTTAAACTTTTTGAAAAATAGAAGAATCAAAACAATTTTTTTAATACTTTTTAAAATTAAACATTATCTACAGATTTAAATCGAAGTATTTTTTAGTTTCGATGCGAAGCTGAGAAGGTATTAATTTTACCATGATGTGTTTATTTATTTATTTTTTGAGTCTGTCACTACTTTTCACAGCTCTCACTGGATCGATTTCTTTCAACAATACGTCAAAAGATCACAAATTGTATCCTGTTGAAGACGTTACCTTTAAAAATCGGTAGATTTTGTCATTTTTTCACTTTTTTTTTTTTAAACTTCCATCATTTTTTCAAAAATCAACAAATTAACATAAATTTTTTTTATATTGAAACCTTAGATATTTCCCTTTCATTTGATATCATTTTTTTTTGAAAATCTAACACTTATTCTGCTCAAAGGGGGAATTTTTAATAGTAACTTTTTTACAAAAACTAATTTTTTCAATTTAACTTTTAAAAACGTTCCGGAAGTATACGTCCTTTAAAAATATACATCAAATTAAAACTTATGTCATGTACTATAAAATTAAAAAAAAAAATTTGTCCCGACGACCTATCATATATGTTCAAACCCAACCCAACCGTATTCAAAAATATGTTATTTTTGTATTTTATTTTATTTTAAAATATCTTATTAGGGGAATACACTGACTTTTATGAATATTATATAATTAAATTGACATAGAATAAAGTTCATAAGACATAAGAAATTAAACTACATTTGTCAAATGATTACAATTCATATTTAGTTTATGTTATTACTCTTAAAAATCGAAAAAATATTCCTTATTCAAATAAAAAGTAGCTTAAGCAGCTTTTTCCATACAAACAATCAAAATCATTAATTTCTAATATTCTTAAAGTATTTATTGTCAAATTAGATTTGATATGATAAAAGTATTCAAATACAAAAGTAAATAATTTTACTTTGTAATTTATTCATTTTTTAACTCTATTTGTGTGTGCTATTACCAGTCTATAATATTCCAAATTTTTTTGAAACATGTTGCTACATAAATCATAAATTTAAATAAAAAATGATTTTTAGTTTCACCTGAATTTAACGATGGATTTTTACAATAATAATCAAATTTTATAATACGCTCAATTGAGTAAATCTTTTAAACAACTTTTTTTTTATTGGTTTTTTTAGATATATAATCATTAAAATTAATTAAATTCTGAATATTTCCATTGTAGGATCTTTTTAAACACCAAAAGTTAATTAGAAATGATTACTATGGTTTTTATTTAAGTGATCTATTACGATAAAAATGTAAAAAAAATCGAACTTTACTGATAAATGTACTGTAAATAGTAATTATAAAATTTCCTGATTGTATATTAATCTTTACAATTTCATTTCTATTTAATAATGTCAATATCAAATTTGCAAGTTGAGCTAAAAGTTATGGTAATAAATTCATTTTTTTTTTTATTAAAACTTTCTCTTTAAAGGACAAAAAAAGTAGGTTCAAAATTATTACTTTTAACATATTAAAAATCAAAATCAATAATAATTTGAAAACAATTAATTTTAAAAATTATATACTATTTAATTAAAAGAATTACTAATATGTGTATAATTAAGGAAATAGAAGTTGATGTTGCTTTTGTAATTATCCATCAATTTCTTAGAATTAAACACTATCTACAGATTTGCATCGTAGCGTTCTTATAATAGTTATTTTAATCACTGTCAGATTAAACCTAAACTGGATTAACTATGCCACGTCCCAACTATGCCGCATCACCACTGTGTCGGCATTTAATTTCACAAATCAATTATTTTGAGTACTTAACGCGTTGCACGGTACTGAGAGCAACACCATTGTCTATTTTTATTTTGTTACTTTTTATAATTCTAAGCCCATTAATAATAATTTCAATATACTATAAAAAACATGGCTTTTATGATAAATTAATGTATTCTTTTCTTTAGAAAATCACTATTTATGGATTGGAAAAATGTTTAGATGTTATTTAAAATATTAAAATAAAAACGAGATTGCTGACATTACCACACAGCCCATCACTTATATATACTAGTAAGTATATAAATATAATAACATTTTTACTTGATACAGTACTAACAAGCTCAATGTCAAAAGATGTAATAACAGAAATAATACAAACTGTTTGTTGCACTGGCGTGTTACGTGTAATTATAGGAAATATTATAAGACCCTTGAAATCTATTAACTTTAAGCTTTTTAAATGTTAATTATTACTAAAGATTACTTTATTGACTACACGGTAGGAAGTAGAGAAAATAATTATATACTGTGATGAAAAACTCCATTTATTTTATTATAATATAGGAATCCTATAATATAATATCCTATAATAGGATATGAAATAACAATAATACATAATTTTTAGCAAACACAACAATTTTGACCTATTCTTATAGAAAATTAAAAATTATATATTGAATCACAATATTTGATATTAAAAAAAAATATTGAAACAACATAAGACAATTTACTACACATTGTATAGATTCAAAATTAATTATTTAAATACATACATGATAATTATTGTAATATTAAATGATAAGTTAAATTTTCTCATTGTATTAATAAATAGAAAAAATTATTTTGAACATAAATTTATTTTCATACAATTAATTAATATCCATACATTTAATTATTAAAGTTCATTTGTATAACACAATTTTTATCATTATTTTTAAGTACTTATATATACTATGATGTATATTTTTACTTGACACATTGCAATCTGCCGCAATATTTACTTTTATAATTATCTGTAATAGTACTATCTGTTAACCATATTAAATTTAAATAGTAACCCAATAGATAGTATAAACAAGCCGTTTTTTTCTGACGCGTTACAAATAAGGATAATAAAAATTATAAGAATCGATATCTAACTGCATACAGTCCTCTGTATAATGATCAAATATTAAACAATAATAGCAACTGTAGAAACCAAAAAAAAGTTAGTTAAATTTTTTACTGATAAATCATTTAATAAATACCGTTGGCCATAAATTTGTCCAATTATCTCTATGTCCTTCGCCCAATTTGGTCGCAAAGCATCAATAAAAAACTTCGCTTTTTGCGGAGCTCTATGATATCTATGATAACCAACAATATCTTCCTAAAAACAAAAGAATATTTAACTCAATAATTGTTTTATTTTTATTTAAATTCATCAAAATATCGTCTGTGTGAATGAATCAAGTATCACGATTATTGAAATTATTTTGAAAGAAACAAAAAATAGACTATTTTGTATAGTTTATAATGAATATTTTTTTTTGAAATACTTTATTACTGCAATATTATAATATGCCTACTCTCTTGAAATAATAGCATTTCCCATAATTTGAAATAATTCTTCCATATTCATTCTTATTTCCAAAATAACGTATAATTCCTTCTCCAATTCTATTAGTTTCCAAGCTATCTCCTTCATCAACAATTACTTCGTGCTCTGTCGTACAATTTAAGCAATCATTCTCAGTATCGATGTTTTGAGTGTATAAACAGTGTGTGTCTTCTTTCGACTCCACAGAAACATGCTCAAAAGTTTCTTCACACGGTTCTTCATTTTCAAATACACCTACGCTTTGAATATCGATATCTTCATTCTGTATTGTGGCCAATTCCCTCTGATTATTACTATTTGAACTTATGTCATGCGCCATAAATTCTAATTAATAACATATCAACTTTTATTATTATGATTGTTTAAACAATAATTAGTCTAAAATGAATTATTTGTTTGAATAAATTTATATAAAATTAGACTAAATGATATGGATGCAATCACATATCCTATAACATCTTTGTACCGCTGATTAAGCTTATAAGAATAACACAGTGACACACATATTACTACAGAAGGCAGGTGTAGCCCACATAACAAATTTTGGAATTCACGGTTATCGTTCCACAACACGAAGGTCTCAAACACCAATTGATTTATTACTATCATCGCGACTATTACTTATTCAAATAATTAGTATTTCACAAAGTGCATGGGTTTATTAGTTTTTACAACTGATATTTTAGAACTTGCACCAGACAGGTTATTACATCTCAGATGAATAAAACCGTTACTCCCTCTAAAGTTTTTGAAACGTGTAGGAATATTAAATGTCCAATAGGGATAATTTTAATTTTTGAACTATCTCTTTACGAAATTTATGAACACAAAAGTACAATATCATAACTCAAAAAGCCACAAAAAAGTTAATAAAAAAAATGCGGATCCGTATTTTAGAAATCATGTTATCATTATCACAAATTTAAATTTATTTTATTTTAAGTTGAAAATTTCAATTTTCCAGTAAATTAACATTTATAATATTTTATCAAAAATTGTGGTAATACAATAATACTCAATTTAGATTTTTTCTTTGCTGTAAGAATTTTGAATTACAACTAATTACAATTAGATTACAAAATACTTTAGTTAAAAACTCAGTGGTATTCGTTCACTAGCAGTTTTCATTTACTGATGATATTATCTTATAATATTAAATAATATAAAATGTCTGTTGAAGTTTTTTGGATAATTATAGTTTTTATAAAATTAATTGGATTTATTTATGTAATACTTAGGTTGTATTTAATTTAAATTATTAAATCATGATTTAGACCGGATTTCATAATAAAATATTTAATATTAATGGTAAACTAACAAGATGGCGTAATTAGATAAGATTTTTCCATGGAGTCTTTATACATATGAGAAAAATTTACAACCCCCGCAGAACTCTTTTCAGAAAACGTTTATTAAAATATGTAATAATTTAAGTATTTAATACATTTTTGTTAAAATATGAGGTTTTTTATCATAACTCAAAAAGCCACAAAAAAGTTAATACTGACTGTATTAAGACTGTTTTGGTCTTCCTCTACCTCTTTTTCCTTCAACATTCATTTCTATAACTGTTCTTAAAGCTTCTGATTCTTTTCTCCTCATAACATCACCAAACTATCTATGTCTATTTTCACTTATCTTATCCAAGATTAACGCTATGATATACTCAAGATTTACTTATTATCATATAATAGTTACTACCAAAGTTACAACAATTTGTATATCAGCTTAATGTTACAAAACTATTAGCCGTGGTTTGAACACTATCCTTCTCTTCTCATAACATGACCAAACTATCTAAGTCTATTTTCTCTCATCATATCCACGATTGGCGATACACCTATACTCCCTCTTAAATGCTCTTTCCTTATCCTATCTTCTCTAGTCACTCCAGTTATCCATCTAAGCATTCTCTCTCATCATTCTCTGCTCTATTTTCTTATCAACCGCCTAACACTCTGAATCATATATCATAGCTGGCCTTATTACTGTCTTGTAGAATTTAACTTTCAGCCTCATTGGAATTCTTTTATCGCATAAGACGCCAGGTGTTTCTCTCTACTTCAACCACCGGCACTTAATTCTGTGTCTTACATCCTCGTAAATACCACCGCTATTTTGCACAACTGACCCTAAATACTTAAAACTTTACACCTCTCCAATCACGTCCTCGCCTATTGTCACTGATCTCCTCATTTTACCTACCTCGTGTTCTCCTTTGTCAAACTCGTAATCTAAATACTCTGTCTTACTTTTAATTTTCGTAAGTCCTTTTCTTCAAGAACTGATCTCCACACCTCTAGTCTTAGATTTATTTCCTCCCTATTTTCTCCTATTAACACAATATCTTCAGCAAACATGCACCACGGCACCATATATTAATATTATAATATTAATAATAATAATTATTTTATAGATGATCCAAGTAATGATATTAATAAAACTTAAATTTTACCCATAACTGTAATAAACAAAAAAAAGAAAGAAAGAGGCAAAGAGAATAAGTGAGTTGAAGATGGTAAGAATGAAGTCGTATCTCGGGGTCGAACTATATTTATTTATTAAATAATAAATATCCCTACCTCATTTATTCCTATTCTTGTTTATTACGTGATTTTTAACACGCTTATATTAGTTTCACCTGTATGTATATATGTATGTATGTTTGTAGCTCTCCAAACGCCACGCGTTATCGCATATTCCGTCGTTTAGACTAGACTGTCATAACGCATTCACCCCTCCCCACGCCTCGCTCACCACACGACGGCACACTATTCCTATACAAATTTATTTTTAGTTATCGTACCCGTACACGCGAGCTTGTCATCAATATTATATATATATAGACAAATTTTTATTTTGACTGACCAATACCATCCGCGTACCATACGGCTTATGTATATATTCCTACCGCTGTTTATACCTCAGGTTTAACGTTAGTCCGACCCGCCCGCCCACAAAACACGGCTATACCTAATGCATGATACGTTTACGTACTTAATTCGCTTTACATGTATATATATATTCTAATTACTATTAAAAATATACAGGGTGNAAAATATAGAACTCATTCATTCCGATTACAAAGGATGATTTCCGTATCGTCATTTTTCGTCACTACCTCTATGTTCCGGGAGTGGGTAATTTACGCGCCTGCTGCTTTCCTTTGATGTGGTAACCGTTTCTCAGACACCCTCCCCGGAATCGAACCCTGATTTCCCGTTACCCGTAACAACCATGATATTGATAGTAACTACTATCATAAAATGAAACTAAAAAGTAAAAAATAAATATAGTTTAAAAAAACTAAAAAACACGCTTTTAAAGCACATCGAACTAAAAAGTTAAAAATAATTTTTAAAATAAGTTTAAAATAATTATGAAAAAAAAATACTAGTATTATTGTGATAAAAGCGTGGGTGCTTTGTGCCATATTTTTCGTATATTGAGCGCCCGATTCTTTTATTACAATAATACTAGTATTTTTTGTTCATAATTATTTTAAAAATTATTTTTAACTTTTTAGTTCGATGTGCTTTAAAAGCGTGTTTTTTTANTTTTAGTTCGATGTGCTTTAAAAGCATGTTTTTTAGTTTTTTTTAACTATATTTATTTTAGAAGTAAGGCATGCAAATAAATATTCGCACTTACCTTTATTTCCTTTAGTAATTGACTGAGTTGGTTTTATGATGATTTCTTCCTTCAGTGTCAACAGTCGTTTATACTGTCTTGCGTTTATTTCGATTTATAAGTCTCTCTGTGTATATTAGACTTAGAAAAAGGGGTTCTCTATAATGGGACCTGCGTCTATTATAATTTGTCACTTTTTTTTTATTTTCTTTAAATTCCTTTTATATTATACTGTGTTTTTACTAATAATATTTTCAATGAATTCCCTACAGTCGATATCGTTATTCTTAAAATTTACTCTGAACTAGTCAAAATATAATTATAAGAATATGTCTATCTATATTCAAAATATAATTAACAAGACTGTGGTGGCCCAGCGTTTCTCAGCGTAAAGCCTTGGCTGGCGCGGACACAGTTACCTCGCTAATATATTTTAAATATTATTTCAATACACCTTTTACTATCCTTTACGTCAACTGCCTACACGTTACCGAAAGGTAATTGGCATAGTCCTTTATGGCTGGCGGGTACACACGCAGAGAATATTTCCAAGATGTAGTTTCCTATCTTACGGACTATATATTTTATGATGAACTCTACCCGGACTACTAGCTCTAGAACTGGCTTGTCGACGGATATAGCGCACTTCAAAAATACTCTTTTTATAAGTTTAGTACTACTCTGTACCTCAACTGCCTACACGTTACCGAAAGGTAATTGGTATAGTCCTTTATGGCTGACGGATACACACGCAGAGAATATTTCCAAGATGTAGTTTCCTATCTTACGGACTATATATTTTATGATGAACTCTACCCGGACTACTAGCTCTAGAACTGGCTTGTCGACGGATATAGCGCACTTCAAAAATACTCTTTTTATAAGTTTAGTACTACTCTGTACCTTAACTGCCTACACGTTACCGAAAGGTAATTGGCATAGTCCCTTAGGGCTGGCGGGTACACAGGCATAAAGTACTACTACTAAAAATAATTAATTCTAATCACAAATTATGCTTCTTCATTTAGTTCGCTACATTTAAGGCTGTTCATAAATGTAGGGCACAATAAGCTTTATTATGAATATACGATAATGTATAAGGCTATTATGCCTGTATAAATAAAATTACGCTTCTTCACTCTTTTCGGCACATTTGAGGCTGTCCAGAAATGAAGGGCACAATAATATTTAAAACCTTTATATAAAAATAGAGATAATGTCTATTTGTCGTAACAACATAATAATAAAAATAAATAAAAAACTTGTTCCTGTGTAAAATATTAATAAATCATCTAAGACAATGTTCACCACTTAGGATTAGGGTGGCTCAAAAAAAATCGATCTTCGAAATGTTTATGAGATACCTCATAAATGTATTATATACATTAAAATAAACATTTTATGAAAATTTGAGATTAAAAAAAAAATTTTTACAGGTCGCTCAACGCGTTTTAAGAATATTGACCAAAAATACTCAAAAAAACATAAAATGTCATTATTTATTCAATTTTTGTTCAAATTTCTTACTTAGTACATCTAAATTGTTCGTTTTTTAATGCCGAATAATAATAATTAGAAAAAAAAATTGTAAGTCCAAAATTGATTGCGTAAAGTCCATAAAAAGCTCAAAAATATGGTTAAGTTCAACGAACTGTTAAGTAAACCAAAAAATTTTTTTTTTCATTTTTTTTTTTTAATTTGATTAATATTTGTGTGTATTTTAAGAGGAAAAAATTTTTTCCACTAATGTTTAAAACTACTACCTTTTTTTTTAGATTAAAACGTACGCTAGAATATACGATGTACATAAAAATAAATGAAAATATCGTCAAATTTTACTGTTTCCATTTTACATTTTTTTATTTTAAAATTTGGCATTAGCTATATATACATACATATATATTTATAATTATAAAAATAAAAATAATTTTTTTTTTTTTGTCACCAATGTTGATTTTTTACAATCGGGGTACTCATTCTAGACAGAATAAACGTATCTAGCCGAAAAGCCACGTATATATTGGCGTCTGCTTTAACTTAGTGTGATAAAAATATTAATGATTATTCGATAAGTAAAGATTGAATTCAAAGAGCTCGTAATTTTAATAGAAAAATTATAAATAATGAAATAATAAAATAATTCAAACCAAACACCGCTTTAATGGTTCACTGGGACGGAAAAATGTTGCCGTCTTACAACAAAAAAAATTACACTGAACGTTTAGCGGTATTAGTATCTGGTGATGGCAAAACTAAACTAATTTAGTTAATCAAACAAATATGATATATTTTGACACTACTGCCTCCAACACTGGAAAACTAAATAGTGCATGTATTTTAATTGAAAAAAAATTAGGTAAGGAATTATTGAGTTTTGCTTGTAGGCACCATATACATGAAATAATAATTAGGAGAGTTTTTGATAAATTAATGCCTCCATCATCTGTCCCAGACATAGCTCTATTCTAAAGATTTTCTAATAGCTGGGAAAATATAGACAAAAGACTATACTGTAATATGTTGACAGATGATGTTGTGTTAAAGATATTAGCACCAAATATAGACATAATTTCTAAATTTATGAACATAAATTAAATTTAAATCATCCTCAGGACGATTTAAACTCAATAATTCCTTACCTAATTTTTTTTCGATTAAAATACATGCACTATTTAGTTTTCCAGTGTTGGAGGCAGTAGTGTCAAAATATATCATATTTGTTTGATTAACTAAATTCCAATCAACCAAAAGCTTAATAACGGCATCAGCTTGCGATTTGCCTGTAGAATTTAAAAGTTTAGGCACTCCCAAAAGTTTAGTTTTGCCATCACCAGATACTAATACCGCTAAACGTTCAGTGTAATTTTTTTTGTTGTAAGACGGCAACATTTTTCCGTCCCAGTGAACCATTAAAGCGGTGTTTGGTTTGAATTATTTTATTATTTCATTATTTATAATTTTTCTATTAAAATTACGAGCTCTTTGAATTCAATCTTTACTTATCGAATAATCATTAATATTTTTATCACACTAAGTTAAAGCAGACGCCAATATATACGTGGCTTTTCGGCTAGATACGTTTATTCTGTCTAGAATGAGTACCCCGATTGTAAAAAATCAACATTGGTGACAAAAAAAAAAAAATTATTTTTATTTTTATAATTATAAATATATATGTATGTATATATAGCTAATGCCAAATTTTAAAATAAAAAAATGTAAAATGGAAACAGTAAAATTTGACGATATTTTCATTTATTTTTATGTACATCGTATATTCTAGCGTACGTTCTAATCTAAAAAAAAAGGTAGTAGTTTTAAACATTAGTGGAAAAAATTTTTTCCTCTTAAAATACACACAAATATTAATCAAATTAAAAAAAAAAAATGAAAAAAAAAATTTTTTGGTTTACTTAACAGTTCGTTGAACTTAACCATATTTTTGAGCTTTTTATGGACTTTACGCAATCAATTTTGGACTTACAATTTTTTTTTCTAATTATTATTATTCGGCATTAAAAAACGAACAATTTAGATGTACTAAGTAAGAAATTTGAACAAAAATTGAATAAATAATGACATTTTATGTTTTTTTGAGTATTTTTGGTCAATATTCTTAAAACGCGTTGAGCGACCTGTAAAAATTTTTTTTTTAATCTCAAATTTTCATAAAATGTTTATTTTAATGTATATAATACATTTATGAGGTATCTCATAAACATTTCGAAGATCGATTTTTTTTGAGCCACCCTACTTAGGATGATACATATAAAAAAAAACTAAGTCACAGGAACAAAATAATTACTTATACTGACGCAGATTCCATGTAAGAGAATATTTAGAGGGTAGTCGTCGTAGTCGCAGCCGCAGAAAATCGTCAAAAGAAGTCCCTTTTTACGAGAAAAAATGGTTTTTTATACGCCGGATGAAGTAAGCCAGCGATCTCTATTGAAATTCCTAAGATGTTGGATAATTATTTGTGATTGGTTAATTATGATAGAAACCCTGCCGTGGGCGTAGTTAATGAATTGTAGGGGACTGGTTTGAAACATGTGTTGATAAATAGTTATTTTTATTACCCAAAAAGGGAAACATTCCTTAGATGATTTATTGCTTTATTCATATATATGTGATATTTAGTACATGTGTTAATAATTATACTACATAACATAATAACACTAAGTCGTATACATTTTAAATTACAACTTGGTATCCAAAAAGTCGTAGATTAAATCATTGTAATAGCGACACAATTTATGTATAGTTCTTTATATTACAATAAATATATGCAATTATCTATTTTAACCCAGGTAAAGAATTTGACGATGTTAAGCACAATATTATATTAGATAAATTAAAAAAATAAAATTAGGGATTGTACATTAACATATATTTCGTCTTACTTAATATCAGAAAACAACATATTAAAATAAATGAGTGTATTAATTCTCTGTACCTATTGAAATTCTGGATACTGAGAGAATTTTTGTCTACTATTGTCTGAGGCTAAATTTAATTAAAAAATTACTTGAACCAGATTGAAGTAAGATATCACCTTCATTGCACTTCTTTTTCCTTGAAATGCAGCACGTCAAATATCTTGCAAACCGACCAAAAAAACTTTTCCTCTTCATCCTTTTAGTATTGTAAACAACAAAATCAATGTAACAAAATAATTCTTTTCAAGTTAATAGTAGTAGTTGATAGTTATAGAATATAAAGACAAAAAAATAATCTTTCTTGTCGAATTTAATAACAAACTAATATATGTTTGATTATAAACATCAGTGTTTCTATGCGGGTATCACATGGCAACTTAACACGTAATCCAATAGATACACTAATCCACTAAGCACTGCACAATGTATATTATCTATAGTTATAAATTAATTTATATCTATATAGCTGATTTAACTCAACAATCGGCACAACGATAGTACAGAAAAAAAAATGTATTTACCTATATATATATATATATATATATATGTACATATATATTTAAATTTCACTTCGCACTATAGTTTGGTTTATATATCTATCCTTCGTTAATTCGATGCATGTGAGTAATATTAACGAAGTCGTAAACGAGTAAAAACAAAGAAGAGAACAAAAAAGAACGAAAGTTCAATAAAAGAACGCCACAACCAGTTAAGATTAACGTCGGTGTTGAATGAAATAGATTATGTAATAATTAAAATATTTAGAAGTTATTCGTAATATAATAGTATTTAATATAAAGTATCAAAACATATAATGTAAGAGATGTACAACGGCAACGGGTCACTTTACTCGATAGACGGCGAAACTACGAATAAACTGTACTAACTATACTAACATAAGTAAAAATACATTAAAGTGTTATCTTAAATAATATTACTGTTGGGGCCAGGGGCACTAAATATTATAGTGCGTACCCGAACCGGCTAATTGCACCAATACCGATCAGGCTGCGTAGTGTGATGTATGTAACTAGAATCACTGGTGGTGGGAGGGGTCGCCTGCGCAGCAACCAGTGATCTATGTAGTGACAGATGTGTTAGTGTGTAATTGTTTTGTGTGTACTTAATTAACTAAATAAATAAATATCTCAACAAAAACTTTATAATAATTAATAATAATAATTTAATAAATGAGTTGACTAGATGAATATAGCCCTTCTGGCTCAACAAATAATAATGAAAATATGAACTCTAAAAATATAACAGAATAATGACAAAAAATAACTCTACAACTTCAATGACAGCACTAAATCAGTTCAATAATTATAATAAACAAAATTTAATTCAATAATAACTACGCTAAATTGAGAAAAAGAAAACAAAAATGAATAATACATAAATAACAATGGTACTCACAATTCGCAGAGCTGCTGGCCAGAGATGCTACCTAAAACTAAAACACGAATCACAATAATAACAAATGAACTTAAGACTACAATTTGGTAACTCAAATTTAAATATCANTTGTACTATACTAACATAAGTAAAAATACATTAAACTGTTATCTTAAATAATATTACTGTACCCAGTGTGTTGTTTAATAATATCAACACTTCCCCTTAAACAATACACCCGTACATAGTTAATTAAAAAATTATAAATCTATATATCTAATTTCTAACATTTCTCTGAGTTCTTGAAATCTTGTTCGTGATGTTGGCTTGGTCAAGATGTCAGCTAACTGATCTTTGCTGGTCACATACTCCAGTGAAAACATCCCTTCATTGAACTTACGAATATAATGATAACAAACATCTATATGTTTAGTTCGTTTATGGAATTCTGGATTCTTCACCAATTTTGTGGCACTTTGATTGTCCACGTACAAAACAGGTGTCTCTCCCTATGTTTCCAGAAGATCACTTGTTAGTAGCGTCAACCAAGTTAATTCCTGGACTGCTTGACTCAGTGCCATGTATTCAGCCTCAGTAGTTAAGAGTGCTACCGATTTTTTCCTTTGTGAACACCATGCTACTATTCCATTAGTCATCATGAAAATGTATCTTGATGTTGATCGCCTAGTTGTTGTATCACCAGCATAGTCTGCATCACTATAACCATGTAACTTAAGTTCCACCCTAGAATAAAAAAATAAACCTTAGTTATAGGTTCCTTTTAAATATTTTAAAATACGTTTCACCGCATTCCAATATATATAGCGACTGACAAGATTTACAGCAAATGTTATATCAGGCCTTGTGATCTGACATAGATATAACAAACTTCATACTGCTTCTCTGTATGGAACTTCCCCTGCTTGTAATGATTCAGATAAATTTGCATCTAATGAGTGTTGTGGATCTGCAGGAATGCATAGGGCGTTGGATTCAGCCATATTGAATCTCTCCAAAACATGTCGACAGTACCCATCTGATTTCTGATCAATTTCAATTCCCAGAAAATGATTAAATTCACCTGATTTTGTCTCAGAGTTGCTCATCAGGTACTTCACCATCATGTCCACCTGCTCATCATTTGTTGCTGCTATAATCCTTTTTTTTTTTTTTTTTTTTTCGACCGNTTCCAAATTTTACCTACATTACATTTTAATAGTATTTAACCAATCTAGAGGGTACTGTCTTAAAAAAATTGAGTTTGAAAAATAAGGACCACCCTAATACATATATTATAATAATATAATTTAATTATTGTTAAAATATTGTGGGGGCAGGACTTTGCGAGGGGGGGCAAAAATAACTCACAATACATAACATTAAACACAAAATACCTAAGGCGCCGGCCTAAACCAGCGCCTTAGGTCCTCCTGTACCAAGCGGCACGGCTACCTCTGTCTCAGGCGTTCAGCTTCCTCCTCCTTCTTTTTCAAGATGGATTCGGCTAACGCCTGGATGAACCTCCACGCCTCCCGGCTCCTCAACATCAGGTCCACCATGGACCCGACTCGGAACGTGGACCCTAGTCGAGACTCCAAAGAGTCCCGTTCCTGGGCCCACGCCTCGCACCGGAAGAGGGTGTGCAAAGCGCTATCAGCCTCTCCCAGGCGATCCGAACAGTGGTCGCACGTAGGCGCGGCTGCTTTACGAATCCTTGGCCTGGTGTCCCTCCTTTTTACAGGAGAAGCACCCCTTGAATTTGTCCAGGCCCTTGCAGGCCTGGGCCACGTGCCCGTGCTCCAGGGATACGTATCCCACACGGATACGGGCAAGACCTGCGAGTCGGGGGGCCAGCCTTGCCGGCACCTCCACCCGGGCGTAACGCCCTTTGCCGCCGGAGTTCGCACGGACCACAACGGGCCTGATTTCCGGCGGCACCTTGTCCTCTGGACAGCGGAGGGCGTCCAGAAATGTCGCCATGCGCTCCAATTTCTTGGTCCCCTTCCGCTTCACCATCACAAGGTGGCTGGTGGTGGGGCTGAAGCGGTGGCAGAAGCTTTCGGAGGAGGAGGAGGGGCCACGCCACTGAGTGGCAAGGGCGCCATTGTGTCCGCGATCGAACACCCAGCGTCCTTTGCCACTCCCTCCTTCTTCTTCTTCCTCCTTTTCGGCTTTTTGGCGGCGGTGGCAGGCGGGAGCGCACCCACTGCCACCTCACCGCCTTGTAGGGTGGACGTTGCGTCCCCGACGGCCTTAGATGGCGGGCCATAAATGTCCCACCAGTAGTTCTTGTTGACGCATCTAGGGGGTTGGCCGTTGTCAAGTCCGTTCCAGGTTCCAAGCTGTCCATTGCCAATATCCTCCCGGCTATTTCACCGGTGGGAGTGGCTTGGTCACCACCACTCCCTGCAGTCGCAGTACCAACCCCGTGGTTGGCTGCAGGAGCCTGCCTCAACATTCCTGCATTTTGTATTCGTTTGATGATGACACCTGGTGGGTACACCCCCCACCAACCGCCGGCACTAGGGCATCCGAATCTCCTGATGCAGTAACCTTTAACAATCATTAATTGTTCATTTTTATTACTTACAAAAATACAGGGATCTGCCTTTGTTTATTTTAGATCAAATTTTAACAACAAATTTTTAAATTTTGTATTCCAGCACCTTGGTACTTGTTTCAATCCATACAAGTTTCGTTGAAGTTTGCAAACTTGTTTAGTTCCATCTTCATAACCTTTTGGCTGGTTCATGTAAATCTCTGCTTCAAGATCACCATATAAAAAGGCTGTTTTAATATCAAATTGTCTGAGTTTTAATTTTCTGGCTGCTGCTATTGCTAGCAGTACTCGTATAGAGCCATACTTTACAACTGGACTAAAAGTTTCTTGAAAATCAATTCCATGCACTTGTGCATAGCCTTTTATAACTAGTCTGGCTTTAAATCTATCAACTTCTCCATTTTTCTTGAGTTTGGTTCGATATAACTAGCCATTGTACTTTTTAAAGTACTTTTTTATTTGTTGGTATATTTACTAATTTCCAGGTTTCATTGTTTTTTAATGACAACATTTCTTCATCCATTGCTTCTTTCCAATCTTCTAAATTTTCTTGTGTCATAGCTTCTTCATATGTAACTGGATTATCACACATTGAATAAAATGTTTCTGTTCTATACCTTACTGGTTTTTCTATATTTTGTCTATCTCTAAGTCTCATTTTTAATTGCTCATGAGTCTGATCTNATTTTAATTGTTCATGAGTCTGATCTGCTGATTGATCAAGTTCATCCATATTTTGTTTTCTTTCAACATTATTCTCATCATTAATGTTATTTTCTTCACTTTCAACCACCATTTCTGAATTTATTTCTTCATCTTCTTTTCTAATTTTGATTTCTATTTCCATNAGAATTTATTTCTTCATCTTATTTTCTAATTTTGATTTCTATTTCCATAGATTCTTTGAATATAACATTATCCTTTAGTTTCTTCTGAATACCCAACAAATATTCCTTTTCTCCCTTTTTGATCCCATTTTCTACGTTTTTCTTTTGGTATATGAACATAAACTTCACTACCAAATACTTTAAAATTGCTTATATTGGGACTTTTATTATACCATAATTCATAGGGCGTTTTTTCTTTGTTACCTGAATTTAACGTACGATTCAATATATATACAGCTGTATAACATAGTTCTAGCTGCTTCTACTATTGTACACATTGTTCGTTCTGCTTTACCATTTTGCTGTGGTGTATATGGTACACTGGTCTCATGTTTCATACCAAATTTATTCAAAATAGCTTTGACTTCATTATTCTTATATTCCAAACCACAATCACTTCGTAAAGTAAGAACTGATATATTTAACTGATTTTTCACTGTATTTAAAAATAATTCAAACTTCTCTTTTACTTCTGATTTTTGTTTCATAAAATATACATATGTATACTTAGAGTAATCATCTTTGAATATAACAAAGTATTTTTCACCATCAAGAGAATTTTCTTCCATGGGTCCACAAACATCACTGTGAATTATCTGACCTGGTTTTGTTGTTTTGGTACTGCTCAGTGTAAATGGTTCTCTGTGTTGTTTACCATAAATGCAAGCTTCACAGAAAAATTTGTTTTCCATATCCATGAATTGAATACCCATATGCCTTAGGTAATTTCTAACATATTGAACATTCTGATGACTTAGTTTTTCATGCCACTGTTGTAATGTAAGAATTTTTTCAGCAATATTCACTTGATCTATCTCTTGCGAAATCCTTGTTTTAAAAATCATCGAAAACAATTTATTCTCACGAATTCCAACAGCAACTGTACTATTTCCTCTTTTAAATGTACAAACATTTTTGTCTGTTATCATTATTATACCTTTATCAAGGCACGCTCCACATGAAAACAAATTTACTTTGAGTTCAGGTACATGTAAAACATTTGACAAATAACTGTCAACCCATTTTTCGCCAATTTTTGCTTGACCATATATATTACCTTTACCAATAGTCATAATATATTTACCATCACCAATACGTACTGGCAATTGAATCTTAAACGACTCATAAGTTCTGAACCACTCTCTTCTACTGGTCATGTGATCACTTGCACCGGAGTCCACATACCATTTATCAGAATCACTAATTTTGCTTACCATTGAATTAACGCCTAGTAGTGCATTACCAGAATTGGATTCGTTTTTATTCTTTCCATCTAGTTCTTTCTTCAAAATCCAGCAATCACGTTTCCAATGACCTGGTTTCTTACAAAAATTGCAAATTCCTGGTTTTCTATCATTATTTTGTTGATTTCCAAATTTTGAATATTTTTGTTTTTGCGTTCTGAATGATTTTTTCGCCCCAAATGCACTATTTTCACTGCTATTTTTCTGGATTTCATGGCCATTACTTTGTCTTGTTTCCTCTACCATAAGTCGGGATGTCAAGTTTATTAATGTTTTATTCTGAGATGATATAGAATCCCATGCACTATAAAAATATTTATAATTTTCTGGCAAGGTCATAAGAATTTTGGTTATAAGCATTGAATCGGATATTGGTTCACCTAACTGTTTTAATTGTTTACTCAAGTTTTCTAATTTTGATATATGTTGTG